ACACACACACACACACACACAAGTTTATGTAAACCGTGTGTATATATACTGCACAGGTACATAATACATATTATACGTTATATGCGCGTTCTCCGCGAGTACAATAATTAGTATTTGCTCCGTGTAAACGCGATAACATCTCGGAATTGTTTAATTATTACGTTTTTTTTTTCGTCTTGGCTGTGTATTATTTTCTAATCGTCGCTGTGCAGTATATATATATTTATATAGCTCGTCGTGATAGCCTCGGCGACCGTTCCGCTGGCTATTACAACATAATCATTTATAAAAAGCTCTTCGTCGCCCGTATAATATATAGGTAGGTACCAGCTATGGTACCAATGCAGTATAATAACGCGTTTAAATACTAACCAGAGTTAAAATGTTACAGTAGGCACTTATTATTATTATATTTAAATATTCCGGATACTTGAAACATGACTAGTACATTTTTTTAGGATTTTGCACCGCGGGTCCGACTTATGCATACTCGAGACTGCACATAGGTATAATTTACCAAAATCAAAATGTCGGTGGACGCAGTCGCGTGACTATAAGACTACAAATATTATAAATTATGATATTAAATTATAGACGTTTTTGTAATCGTAATATTCTTGGTTTAAAAAAAAATTAAAATAATATTAGCAGTATCTACTTTTATTCTTTTACTTCGTGTTTTCGTTTATCGTCTTCGACTATTCAAACAATTATGTTTATGTTATTTTAATGTGCCAACATTATATTATTCTGATTTTGTCGATAATTGTTCCACTATAACAATAATATAGCATATAATTATGCTCAGATATTTTCACTATTTCGTTTCATTTGCACCTATTTATTTTTTACATTAGTAATTAATATAAGTACAAATCAATGTTGACCATTGCCGTAATGGATTTCCTCACATTATAGTACAGGTATACCCAAGTATATAATATAATTAATTAAAATTCTTGTACAAAAGTTATTGTTTGAGTTACCCATAATTTTGAACATATTATTATAGTCATCAACGGCCCAGTTGGCAGTTGGGTACTTAATTAAAATTCGTTAGCTTTTATTGATAATTAGCTAGGTAGCTGCAGGTATTTAACAATATGATGTGAAGTATTTATAAAATAATAATTATTACCTATATATAGGTATACCATATATTATATACGTGTTATCGGAATGAACGGTCGTAAAAATGTCTATACATATCATATAGGTGCATAATAAAATGATACTATGATTTAGACATTTAGTCTAAATGATGGTATATTGTACCAAATTAAGACGCGCACTTATACCTAGCAATTATCGTATTTAATAGGTCGTAGACGCAGGGGAATTAGTATATAGGTAGGTATATTAATAATAATCGCTAATAATCAATATTATAATAGTAGGTATAATAATGGTTTCGTAACGTTTTTATTTCGGTCTACATACATTTTCTGCGGCCGTATAAAATATTAGGCATTATAATATTATTAATATCATTAGATCGATTAACGAATTGAATACGATGGGACGAGATTATGATGAAATAATATTTCAGCTCTATAATAATTTTATCGGAAAGCAATATACAGCGGTAACCTCTAGAACATATAATAAATTAGGTACCGTAAAATATATACCTATCGAGCGCATATCACGCGATTGTACTTTATCTGAAATTAATGCGAGACCACGTTAAACTATATACACACAAACAATTACCATTATCCTACGATTATAATATTATATTATAGGTACGCGGTGTAGTGCAGTGATTATTGTTTTCAAAACGGCCTGCAATAATAATATATTATAATATGCTAATAGACAACTAATATAATATTATTTTACAAAATACGCGTAAACCTGCACTCTGTTATATGTAAATATTTATAATATGTGTATAGCTATTTTACATAGGTGCGTGACGATATTATATTCTATACAGTCACATATAACACCTATATGTAGGAATTATATACCTACCGATTTTATTTTATCGATTTCATTTAACAATTACTTGAATCTAGTTATGGGTACCATTTTGCGTAGTTATTTAAAATTGTAGTGTATACAATTATTATATGATATGATTATTATATTATATGAATCTGGTACCTATAATATATATTTTTATGGTTCGATCGAAAACCTTATTTATTGTTATGATTTTTTTTTTTTACAGAGACGCAAAACCAATAAAAAAAGTACAAAGATCGAAATCCAAAGCACGAAAACTCGTATAACATAATACATGTAAATATACATATATATAGGTAATAACAATATATAATCAATTATTAAAACGTATATATATTATAATGTAACCAAATACTTAAATGTTAAATTATATATATTATATATATACAATAATATTCATTGATGGGTATCTGTGTATATGAAATAAAAACGAAATACATAGTTCCAGGTCAAATGGTTCAACCAAAAGTCGTTTATATTACTGCAACTTACGTGTAATAACTTATACACCTATATATTGCCGACATTCTTTTAATAATTTGTAATTTCTTATCTGCAAGCGTAGTAGGTCTATATTAAAATATAATATTTGTTATATTAGCCATTATATAACTATATTATATTAGGTATAGCTGCGGTCGTGACTCGAGATATAATATTGGATATTAGGGCACATGAGTTATAAAAAGTGTTTCCTAATCTTTTTGATACATATAAAGTAAAGCCAACTAAGTGAGTAGCCACTTACTAATTAGATCTTAGACCCTTCTTCTGCAGGGTGACCCACAGTAAAAGATTCTAGTTACCTAAATTCAATGTTGTTATATTATTATAATTTGGAACAATATTCAATCGTTTAATCTTGCTTGTGAGTTGTGGCCATAAAAAAATGTCACGAACCATAGGTTGGGAAACACTGGGCTTTATTATGATATATATAATATGAAAGCAATCTTTGACTTTTAAAATGCACTATAACAGAATATAATAATTATGACTGACTAATGATTTCAAAATTAAACAATTCAAACATAATTATAATCTTATTTATATAATATATAGGTATAATTATATACCTACATACTGAGTACTAACTATGTTATAAGTATATACATTATAAATGCGACTATTGTATATACAACTATTTGAAATAATATTATATTTATGTGTACAAATATAATATTATGAACCGAATTGATTACCTACCGATTGTTCATTCCATTATAAATTATAATATATATCAATAATGTTTATTAGTATAAACCTTAGTACCTACACAACTACCAATTCCTATCAATGACATTGCATTGGCAAATTAATTTAGATATATTTGATTTTTATGTGATTTATGGTAACGATAGACATAAATATAATTGTACGCTAATACGTTTAAATATCATTATATATTTACATATAGGCTATATATGCCAATAACCATTGTTATTGCAGCTTTAATCAAATAAAAGAAAAAAAATACATATATATGTATACATACTTATTGCATAGACGTTTCGGGAAGTAATAAATATTGGATATCAATTCGTATGGACGCTTTTGAAAATACTTAATTGTTAAATAAATTATTGTAATCGAGCGTGTAGCTCCATTATAGATATAACAATTTATATAATAATAATAATATAGGCAATCGAGGTCATGTCATAAATAGATATATTATAGGTACATCATCAACGTGTTTTAGTATAAATATTTAAACAGACGTTTAATTTATTTTTAATCGTATTGGAACAGTCAATAACAAACTTAAATATATAAGTATATACCTACAGGCACCTATTATACTATTACTTATGTAGGTAATTATTGAAGTAAAAAGCTAATTTTCGAAAACCCAAATAGGTATATAAGTATAATACCATTTGTAGTGGAACGTTGCTCGCATTCTATTACAATCTGCAGACTACGACGATAATGTACGGTGCAGTGTTGTACACAAATCTTCTATACCGCCTATACCTATATACTTCAAGACCTTGGTGTGTGTTTAAAGTTATAGCCACGCGTTTTGGTATATCTGTGTATGATATAAGTACCAGCTACTTGGGTAGATACGTGGCGTGTGCAGGATCTTTTTGCAGAATAATTTTAGTTGCGATATCCATCCCCTTACTAACTCTTCATAGACTTTATTTTAGTTAAAAAATAAATGCTCAATACTTATTAGAAAAAGTAGACATTTCTCATTAGGTACTTACGAAATAAAAAACTGAAGGGGAACGAACATATTTTCTATGAATTTTAATGTGTTATTATAAAATTGTTTGTCATCGTTTTCCATCGTTTATGTACAACGTTATTATGTGTGATAAATAATTGAATTAAAATAAACATCCATTACAGTTTTACACCCGTGTATAGGTTACACTGAACGAAGATGTTGGTACACTCGAAATCTAAGTGTAGGTACTGCAGTACAGTACAGAGCGGTTACATATAATTATTTTAATAGTAAATAAATAAAGAATTTTAAATTTTCAAGTAGGTAGTTACTCTATCAGTCTGTATACATTTATAGTTAGGTACAATTATAGTGAATAGGTATTATATGATTTATGTAGAAAAGGGACTTTAATTCGTATTTATATACATTATACCTATGCCTACAGCTCAGAGGTGATCGGAATACTCGCAAGTACCCAAAGGTAGCTTCTATACACTGTGGGTGATAAAAAAGTCAAATACGCCACTGCAACCAGCTATGGTTAACGATCCGTCGAGGGGTGGTGGGTGAGCGGACGACAATAACGATAGATAATTTAATACCAGCGGTGGCGTGCGATGACAACGACGACGGACACGACGCGACGTCGTCGTATTGACGAAACGACGTGCCCCCTCGCCGCCGCCCCGACCGAACCACCCACAGCCGCCGCCGCCACTCAGCGACAGCAGCACCGTCGTCGGCGTCACGGGGGCCGGCATGGGCGTGGCCCGCGCGGTCGGCGGCCACTACCGGGCGCGCTCTGGTCGCGGCCGCCGCCGTCGCGAGGTCGCAGCCAGCCGCGGCGCTAACCGCTTGCCCGATCAGTCGACCGACGACACCGCTACTGTCCGTGTTCCGCCGCGTGTACGTGATGATAATATAATATTGTTACTGTTGCAATAAAATAATATAATATTATCTGTTCGCCGTTTCGCCGATCGAAGTGTACCCATCACCGTAATACTATAACGCATTCGCCGGTGTCGCAATCGATCGCGTGTGCGCTTTTACGCTTATAATATTGTAATAAACGAACATTTTTTTTTCTCGAGCTTCCTCTGATTTAATATTTTTTAATATTTTAATACATCAACTCTGTTCGTCGTTTATCGCCGTGCACTAAATATCAAAATCGAGATTAATCGTTTTATGAATTCGCGCGCATCTTCCGCTGCGGTCTGCCGGTGGTAGGTAAGCCGCGCGCGTTGAATGCGCTTTACAAACGGTTCGTGCGGACACACATGCTAGAACAGACCGGAGCAGCAAATATGACAGTCTTAGCGCTCAACCATCTGTTGCCGCCGCCGCCGACGCCGTCCGCCAACAACGGCGGTCCGCAACCACAACAGCAACAGCAGCAGCAACAACAGCAACGAGCGGCCGCCGGAGCTGACGGCAACGGCGCCGACGACGTGCAGCAAAACGGCAAGACGTCGCGTATGATGACGGGCGCGGCCGCGGCCACCAACATGTCGACGGCGTTGATGATGGGTGGCGGGCCGCCGACGGGCCACCACCACCACCATCACCACCACAGCCACAACCACCATATCAATCAATTGCACAACAACAACAACAACAACAACGACGACACGGCCAGCAGCCCGCGGTCATCCGTCGTCGCGGCCGCCCGGCCGTCCGGTCACATCAAGTTCAGCGTGGCCGCCCTGTTGGCCGACACCAGGCCCGTCCGGTCACCGACGCCTGGTTCCGTGTACGACGACGACATGGACACGCCGGACGACGACGAGGACGACCGCAACAGCGTGGACGTGGAGACGACCGACGGCGGCGTCGCGGTCGGCCGGCGGTGTTCGTCCAGCACGCCGGACCGCGGCCGCTCGCCGATGCCGCTTCACACTTCGTCACCGCCGCTGTCGCATCACCAGCACCACGGCGGCCACCCGTTCCAGCAGCCCGGCGGGTCCATGGCAGCTCGCGCGGCGTTCATGATGTCCGGCGGCGGTGCGTCCGTCCCCGGCGGCGGTGGACACCATCACCATCCCGTCGCGCCCGTCCGGCCGACACCGTTCACGGCGTTCGCCGCGGCCGCCGCGGCCGCCTACTCGGCCGCCGGCATGCAGCACCCCGCCGCCCCCGGAGCATGGCACCCGCATTACGCCGGTGCGTTCCCCGGCTTCGGTTCCACCGGTCTCAATTCCGGATCACCCGGTAAGTTTTCAAGTCGATATTATGATTTAATGCAATAGTTTTTTTTATTGTATTTTCATCGCGATTACGTATGAACCTTTATGAATTATTGACCGTACGGCGGCGGCGGCAGCGGCGTATTGTTAACGCGTGTGTCAAAAATCTTTTTACTCTTCGCTCGACCGTACTCTATTTTTAGAATGTCCATAATATATTGTTGGCATAATAGGCAGGTAATTGTCGAAATTTATTTTTATCCTCGTATGCACATGATGCATGATGCCCGTGCGGAGAGCGCCTCTATTTTTATACCGTTTGCGTACACAATAAAAGCAATATCGCCTAATTAGCCGAATAATTATTGTAATATTGTTGACGCGCGCGCGAGATAATAATAATAATAATAATAATATAATATAGAATATAGATAATTATTCGATATCCACAGTTCATTATTCTACACAAATTATGGTTTTGGGGACCTCGTCCAACGGTCGGTTTTCGGCGCGCAAACAATAATAAAATATCTATTTGTGGCTGTACTTATACAACGAATTGTGTACCCACTTTGTATTGGGTAAAATGTTTGTTTTGTTTTTAAAGTTTGTATTTAATACAACGTATTGTTTAAGATTCTAAAATTTATCTCGATAATTATCATACTGATTCATAAACGTTTGAACACATTTGCCTCATTGTCACCTCTCATAAACCATATTTGACCAAGATTAACCTATAATATGTAACAATTATATGAATATTCTAAAATTTGAATTACTTATAAGTTCTGTGTCTCTGTATATAACTTGTTAAATTTGTTATTAAGTTAATTTACCGTTGTTTTATACATTTTATTGTATTATATTATTCTATATTATTATTCTCATAACTAATATGTTAAAATTGACCATTAGGAGTTTCTAATCAAATAATAAAAATATCCAGATAATATTCACACATTTTAAACTACCTATATAGTATACATGAAGGTCCGCAGAATAACGTATCGATTTGTGCCAATATTCCGAATTTCTTTATTGTTTGAATTACTAATAACCTTTACATAAAATTATTCTTACAATATTTTAATTAACATAACTAATATTAATAATTAATGTAAATATGCATTTTTAGGTTTTCGTTATGTTTCTCGCTTAATTTATTATCACACACACAATATTGTAAACAGGTGTCAGAAATATTAAATTATTTAAAATTATGTAGTAGCTCAAACGACCATGGCTAAATTATTACTCAGGTACTATAGGATTATTTTAAAATTATTTAGCCGTTAACTCAACCATAATATACTAAAAATTGTATATTTTATTATGGGATATGACCTGTGTAAAACATGGTTAGGGAATACAATTTGAAGCGTACCAATACCTCCTGTATCTTAATTGTGGCGTTATAGGATATTAATATAGTCGGAATTTGTCTTTTCCCCTTCCGATATACGTTGTTTACACTAAGATTTTCGTCTTGCTTGGGTCGTTCTGACATTTCAAGTCAATATTTGCAGTTAACTTAATATTATTATTTTTATTTATCTAATCTATCTATTTATAGTTGTTTGTATATTATACATTATTATTATTCTTCAGGTTTAATATACTTTAATATGCATTTTTGATGACAAGCAAAGGTGAATCATATTATGTATGTGTATAGTATTGTGACCAGAACAAACAATTATTAATATCATTTTCGAAACATTGGTAGATATTTCACAAATATTTTCGACGGACATAACATATACACTTCATATATAAGTCGAATTGCGGACATTTGTGTGATGTGTACCCATATATTGTATTGTTTGTTTGATTCGTTTAAGTCGAATGTTATAAATCATATAAAACGATATAATACATACTATGTTATGGTTTTTTTCCTCGACCGGAATATAAAAACTGGAACAAATTCATTAACACGATACAAATATTTTATTGCTCTACCAGATACAATATTTATATCAAATGATTTTATTCAATTTAAATGCAACAGAGTCAAAAGATAAAATAAGTCTAACTAGTCGAGTGAATTTAACTACGTTATAGCCTTGTATAGATACCTAAATAATCAAAACCGTTTACGAATTCCCTATATACGCGTTCATGCCGACATAATCGCCGCTGGCCGCTGCTGTGGTAAAGCGTCCATAAATCGACGAAATAATATTACAATATAATAGGCACCCTACTCATTACGTACACACGTTATGTAGTTGATGTCCTGCTCGGCAAACTGCAAAATGAAATCAATGCAAATGATATAAACAATAACAACAATAATGCACATGCAAACGTGTAACAGTTTACGACGTGTATGAAAATCCAACATTATGAAAATAATTAGCGCGATGAATTTTGAAATCGCACGATTGTGGAGGACGGGGGTAAAAAAAAAGTTAAGGAACTGAACACGAGCGCTCCAATGATCGTTTCGTCGTTTAAACGTTTTTACGATGAGCAAAGGCGGCGGGCACTTATTTTTCACAAAGTTTATCGCGCAGACTATAATGCGTAGTGTAATATAATAATATTATTGTATTAATGCTATTGTTGCACACGACAATAGACGCACAATATACAGTAGGCAGGCATGGGCAGCAGTAGCCCCGTGAGCAGTATTTTAAGCGTACCTATATGGTGTAATCGTATGATTACAATAATAACGATAATAATTGCCACGGTTTTATACAAATCAGCTATTGTTTGGCGCAGAGCGTTTTCTTTTTTCCGATCTCAGTCTAGCCGGCTGTGCAGCGCGCAAGCAGCAGTAACCTATAACGCCGCCGCCGTCTGCGGTATTTCGCCGCCGTATCTTTCTCTAATTGGGCGATTTTTTTCCACTCATTCCGTTCACCATAATAGCTGCGGTTTATATTATTACACAGTTCCTCGGGCCGCCGTTTTATTATTATTTTTAGCGGCGTCTAATTGCTCTCTCGGGCGACCGAGACAAATGCACGTTAAAACGAACGTAAAATGTGTTAATCGGCGCGACCCGGCGCACACACACACACACACACACACACACACACAGACATCATATAACGATGACAAACGCGCGCACATGCGGACAAACGCGAGCTCGAGGGTCGTGCCAAGAAAGAGGAAACGAGAGGAAAAAAATAAATGACTTGCCTAAACGCGAACAATATATATTACTGTACAGTCGATAACACCGCCGCCGCCGTGGCGTACAAGTCTGTAGGTTTGACATTTTTTGGCCTCGGTTTTCACGCGCGTTTAAATTATTTGCCACAAATTTTTAAAACACACACGCGCTGTCGCCGTTTATCGTCGTTAATCGCCGCGTTCTATACACATCCGCGTATTTATAGACGGACGACACACGCACACAGACGCGCACGTTCGCGGCTCGTGTCCCAAGTTTTTTACAAGTATGTGTGTGTGTGTGTGTGTGTGTGTGTGTGTGTGTGTGTGTGTGTGTGCGTGTGTGCGCGCGCGCGCGCGAAACGATTATAATAAATTACATCGATTCCACCGTAATAATATTACCGCGAAATTATTAATCATTATCGTCATCATTAGTACTGGTATTGTTGTCATTCGCACCTATACCTATAATATGATAATATTATAAATTATTATCGTTAAGAGCTATATTTACTGTGCGGTGTTTGTCGGGTGTACTCATCAGTTCCGTTTTCTCTTCCAGATTCCAACAACGGCGAACCGCCCAAACTCAAGTGCAACCTGCGGAAGCACAAGCCGAACAGGAAGCCCCGGACGCCGTTCACCACTCAACAGTTGTTGAACCTGGAGAAAAAGTTCCGGGAAAAACAGTACCTGAGCATCGCCGAACGGGCCGAGTTTTCCAATTCGCTACACCTGACCGAAACACAGGTAACGCAATCGTTTTGAACTTGATTGGCTATGAAGTATAAATATGTGAAATTTTCTCGACGTTTGAGGATGGGTTTCGGATTTCCTTAAATTATGTGCGCCCTATATAATCATAATAATATGTAAGGCTGTATAATTTAATTAGTTCGTCCAGCGGCCATTAACAGGTGTTTTTAAAACAATTGCTCTAACGACGTGGGATGGTCCTATAGACACTTGCGAGTTCTATTAATAGCTATTTATACTAAGGTCTAATAAATACCAGAAATTTGCTAATAATGTGCCTCGTAATAGGCAACATCTAAAATATATGACTTGCAAGTTGCAATACGGGCTATAATAACCAACATTCGTTAGGAATTCAAATAATTAGATAATCATAATTATTAATTAGTCACTTTATGTTGTTCACCTTTCTGAACAATAAAATGTCTGCAGGAATAGTTAAATTAATTATTATTTTCACGATATTCGTCTATGGAATATTACGAAACGTTAGAGCTATATTATATTCACTTATTTATATAAACCATTTGCAATTGGTTGGTTTTATTAGATTTTAAAATGAAACGTTTATTTAATTGTATATAGGGGCCGGCGAAGTATAGTCCCCACGGGTCTGATGTTTTTTGGAGGGTGGTAAAATGGGTATATTATTTAACAATAGCAAGTATTCGGCGTCACTGAATATAATATTATAACAATACGATGAACCACCCGTTTATATAATAATAATATTATGTACCCTTAATAAAAGTTTCGCGTCGTCGTTATTACTTTTCTAATCTCTGCGACTTGTGTGCGAATTAACAGGTGAAAATATGGTTCCAAAACCGGAGAGCCAAAGCCAAGCGGCTGCAAGAGGCCGAGATCGAGAAGCTGAAGATGGCCGCGGTGGCCGCGGCCAGGCCGCACCACCCGCTGTACGGCAACCCGCACCTGCCGCACTACTTCCAACACCCGTCCGAGCTGTTCGGCCACCCGCACCAACTGCAGTCGCTCCTGTCGCACCGGCCCACCATGGCGCACCTAATCGCCCAAGGCCTGCAACAGCAACAGCAGCAGCAACAGCAACAACAGCAGCAGCAGCAGCAGCAACAGCAACAGGGCCCGCCGCCGACGCACCAGCCGGCCGGCGGACAGGTACAGCAGACTCACACGCCGCCCGCGCGCTCGTCGATGTCGCCCGTCGGTCGGCGGTCCGTCACCCCCGCGTCGCCCACCCCGTCGATGGGCGGCGGGGGCCCGGGGTCCACCACGAGCGTCTAGTGCGGTCCCCGCGCACTGCAAAACGGTATTTAAAGACTATGCGCGCCGCGTATCTATCTCGTTCTATTTTATTATTATACATAATATTATTGTAATATGTTATTATATTGTATAAATCATTCTCTTATACAATTATTATTAATTATTATCATTATTATTATAATTACTACTATCATTGTACATGGAAACTAGTCACCCGCAAACAAAAAAAAAAAAAAACCAAAAACGAACCGTCGTCGCCGCGAACGGATAATAATTATAACCCGAGAGAGAGAATAATATAATAATTATTTGTTCGCCAACATATTATATATGCTGCCACCTGCATCATATTGCAATCATTGAATGTCGAGAATTTTTTTATCATGATATTTATTAAAAAATTGTCGTCTTAACGAGCTCCTCTCTGTTTTGTACGCATATATAACGCCGTCATAACTCGCCGCTACGGGTACACGCATATATGCCCCCCGCCGCCCCGAGGGATGGTTTTATTTTTTTATTTTATTTTTCGACCACACATTCTGTTTAAACGTAGGTACCTATATTTAACACTATCATCATCATACAATTATTATTGTTTACGTGTTGTTTATTGTGATAAGACTTTTTTCGGACTCGTCGGATATTGCAATGTATACCTAATAACTTATGTTATTTTGTTCGACGGGAACCGCGCGCATCATTATCTATACACGCATAATATTCATTTTGTTTGTTTGTTGTACAATTATCTTATATTTCTCGCCCGAAGCGAAAATATACACTTATACATATAATACCTACATATATATATATATATATATATGTGTGTGTGTGTGTAATAAATGGTATTGAAACTCGCTCGTATATTTATATTCATATATTATGTAAATAAAGCCGTTTGTAAACTCCATATATATGTACATTCTATGTGTATATGGATAATATGACAGTAGACTAATTTTTAAGATAGGGTAAAACTGTGTACAAGTGCCAATCCTACTATATATACCCTATACGATTGTTTTTTTTTTTTTTATGTACATATATAATATATAAACTCGATTATTATTATAAATAGCAATAATATTGAGATAAAAAAAAAAATTAATAAAACTCGTTGTTGACACAAGTATACATATATTATTATATAACATTACGTTCGTCCTTATTCGTATACTTTATATGCACAACAGTACATTTTGTATATTTTACCCGTACACCTATATATGCCTTACCTTAATTCCTAAATTTCCTAAATTTCTACTATGTAAAGGAAACACCTTGCTTGCAGATTAATGTGCTGAAAACCGATGTCGATCGATATTTTAAAAATACTTTATAATCATTTTATATAGGTCATCAATATCCGGCATCGTCTTGTAACTGAAGTCTGTGTAAAGGTACCTCTGATACGCAACAGTCGATCGACTTTGAGATGAAAGATCATGCTGCAGCGTGTGGTGCAGTTTTATATAGGTAATACCTGCAGATAATCACCGTCGTCTACCTACATCGTATATTATATAACGATAGACAGTTTTATGCTCAATATTTGATACATTAATGGTCTATGATGTATATACCAGATAATGTTTGAGCGTTTTGGAGTTTGGCAACAGTTGTACACGCTCGTTACCGTTAATTGCCTAGGTAGTTATATTGGTGTGGAAAACGTAGACTAGGTCATCGAAACAGTGACTCAGTCATTTGGATGGGTGAGCTGTACATGATGCGTAGTTTTCAACAATTTATACTGCAATTGGCGATTAGACACGCATCAGTGCGGCCCGAATATCGTTTAATTATTATTATTTTAATAATTGTATATGTACCTAGGTACATGTATATATGGTATACATGGTATATGAAGTCTTATTCATCGTATAGGTATGTTTACTGTGCAAAACAGCCGATCCGTCGGAGGATATGATATGATGATTGAGTTTCAAAAGCCAGCTGCAGTTTGAGCGAATGAAGATTGTAGGTACATATAAATGATAATATTCCTATACAGCGTTTTTATAATATCGCTCGTCGTCTGCAGTCGTTCGTCACTGTGCACATACATCAAGATGTATGGTGCACCTAAAAACCGATTAGTAGCTATAATAGGTTTGCCTATACATTGTAGATAGGTACACCCAATATTAATTTAAATTAAAATAGTCCCATATAGGTATACTGAAAATGAGTAATTAGGTGATAATTAATAATAACGAAATCATTCCATCTGGACGATAACATACCTGCAAATAATCCCATCATAACCACGGTATACATCTAACGCGATTTTACACATTTTTTTCGAAACTTCGGTAAATGGACGTTTTATAAGAGTGAAAGTGCACAAAAACAGCATTCGCACAAATTATTATAGTTTTGGAGTAACTACAGTCATTTGAACTAGGTCGCGTTAGGGTCGTATACCCTAACTATCCTATATTGATCGGTCATCTATTAGACTTATTGTTTTCAATCGCTTCTGCTGAACGCCGTGATGTGTAAGTGTGACAAGACCATAAAAAGCATGTCGCAGTGATGACGATTATCAAAGAATATTTAATGACGGTCGTATAATCAGTAATTGTTAAATGATGGAAGTTAATATAATTCAATTAAAAATTAATCTAAATATAGAACGAGAACATGTTTGGACTTACATAATTTGACGATCACAGCCGGAAATAGTACGAAATATAGACGTTTATTGGATGAGCTATACTTATTAAACTCTATGTATACTTAGGTTATAGGTCACCCGTCATTATACGATATGTTAATTATGTATAGCTCATCAAACTTTTCCCCCTCCTCTGTGTGGGCTATTTCCACCCAAAAGGGGTTCTCGAGTACCAAACTACTACTATTCTAGTACTTAAACTGCAGGCAAGGCTAAAAAAAATAAAACGCGCTCGAAATCATTTTTGAATCATCTTCCTAGTTCCTATATTTACGGTTAGGTCAGGTCAAAACAACCAATTTCGAACGATTATGACTGTAACATCGAAAGCAAATTGGTTGCGATTAACCCAACAGAATTCTTTTGGTCACCGTCGTTTTTTAAAACGTCTATTGTTTACTTAAAATGTGCCATTATTTGCTGGGCAGATTAGTGCAATGCTTGTTGTTCCGGCAAATCAGGATGAGAGGATCCAGTGGAATGCAAAAATGATCCTTAATTACACATTATTATAGACTCGTAAAAACCTATCGTAACCTGCGGAGATGAACAAAAACAGACGTCTCGCCTGTCCGGACGACACCAGTTACCGCGTTAGGGGTTACGGGTCGACGTCCGGCGGCGGCGGCGTTCGAGGGCCGACGAGCAATTTCGCACGACGTGGTCGTCGGCGGCGGCGTCCTCGGCTGGCGTCGCCGGTCGAGCGCCTGGTGCCGGCGGGCGGGGGGACGTCCGCGCGCCACGTTCAATATGGCCGCGGTCGCGGGGGACCAATTACGGCGGGCCGCCCATTCTTCCGCGGCGCGATCGGCCGCGCGTCAATATACCCCTCCGCCCGCCCGTCCGACCGCGTGCCGTTCACCCGAGGCGCCCCCCCACGCCCGCGAACGGCGCCGCCGACGTATCGCGCCATTTGGTCGCGAAGAGCCGGACCGCGCGCGTGCGCCCGTCTAATCGTTGGTAACAGATAATGACAGATATTATTGCGTCGGTTTGATTCGCAATAATTATTGTATTATTACCTCAACTACACTTTTTCGATTTCGCGAAGGTCTGTGCAGATTGAAACGAATCAAAAATTCGTCGCCGTGTGATTAAGTCATAACTTCGATTATGATGATCTTACATCATCATCACCCGTGAAATCGCAGACGACTAGAAATGATATTTGAGTCCTGGAAAATGATGAGGTGTTATTATAATAGTAAAAATGATGCGGAGATACGACCTTTGCTAATCGGGGAATCAGGCGCCGACGAAGTACGTCTTTTCAGATCCAGTAAATTTATCGTTTTGCAGGATTTGCGACCATAATTATTGCGAATTGTTACAAGCTGACGAATTTATTTCTAAATTATAATATATTGTTACGTATTAATTTATACCTACTACAGCATTCTAGTACCAAGCATTCGTCCGGGGACGAGTGAATATGTGACAGACAGGTAATAATAAATAACTATGCCTATGGAATATCGATACAATATAATATATGATGGTCCTGCAACGACAATTATTTATGACTGGTGCTGTTTTTGAGTACCTAATATTTAAATATTATTTTGAGTGCAACGGTCCGAGGACAAAAATATACCGCAGGGAAATGATGTATATAGCTGATATAAGGCATATATTATGGGGTTTGACAGGCGTTGCAGGACCAATAAAAGAATAAAAATGACATAAATATAAGTTATGTATACATATTGTACTATCGTCTATCAATTATAGGAACCCTTATCTACATATAATACCTATTTTCATTATTGACAGTGCACTATTATTACGTCATAACAATATTATAAAATTAAGTCAAACATATTAATTACCTATTATATTATTTTGTACCGTACTCATTTTTGTTTGTTCTCGACATAAGCAGACACGGTACAGCAGCTTAGTATAATATTATTTACAGGGAATTTCACCATCATCATCATGGGCTATTATATTATCTGGCTGCCTCCGACCGACCGAAATTATATAACGATATTCTTTAATCATATATATATATAGGTGTAGGCGTTCGTTTCGTATATCATCGGACCAAGATATAGGGTGATAGAGTACGCAACAGTCACGTGCAGGGCCCATCATACATAATATGTTTAAGCTGCTCGTGTATAACTCGTCTAATTCACGATTGGAAAATTGATTATTATATTATATCTGCAACCCGTGTGATACAAATTTTCAAATTTTCAACTATGGAATTTGATTTTTCCAGAAAATAGGTTAACTTAAATGGTCTGTGTATAGTTATACATAGATTAATTTAAATAAATTAAATAAATCCCAGAAACTAACAATTTTCACATGACCCTGCAATATAATGTAATGTCTTATTTGTATACTGTGTCACGATAGGCAACCTGTCCGCTTTGTACTTTTCTCAAATGAAAGTTGTTCTCTCTCTAGATAATTAGAATATATAATGTGATATATATGCACGTGATCCGTGCTTTTTATTGGGTATATATGCCTAAATGTATGTAGCTAAGATGTGTAGTTTTCGGATGGTTTTTGACGTTTCAGGCGTCTACAGAAATGCTTTTTTTCAAAAAGATGTGTAATGGCCATCGGCTTAATATAAATACTTTTAAGCTTTCGGGGGAACGTTATTAATTATTACATATAGACATATAGTTAGCTCGTCCCACCGCACATAGAAATAACAAATTAATATAGTAATAATATGCCACACGCATGTGTTACACATGACAGGTACCTAATCATGACAATAATAATGAATTAAGGCCGATGCAAATTTAATTTTTCGTTTTTATTCTATTCGGACTTTGAGCTACCAGGGAGTAGTATACCTATAGGCACATATTATATAGGTTCGCAACGGTGATAATATAGCCATGCACACATTTATAGGTATAAGAGGTATGTAAAACAATACTGCAGCATACCATGGTATAAGCGCGCATTGTATACATTATAATGTTATACCGTAGTTGTTATTATAAATCGATACGTGCGTATACATTGAATAATATATAATGCAAACTGACGTAACATTCGCAGGTCTATAAAACTGCATATATAGTCGTGCATTGGGTGCAATGAGTGAAAAAAAATAAATACATACATAGGTAATATAATATATACCTACGTATGATGTATACGCTG